CTCCCTCCCTCCCTCCCCACTGAGCTGTGAGACGGCAGTACTTCTCCCTCCATGCCTTCCTCACCACGATGGTCCACATCCCCTAAACTGTGAGCTAAAGTAAACTAATCCCTGAGTGGCTTTTGCCACCCATTCTGTCACAGCAAACAGAAAATGGACAGATGGGACACAGTATACACACACGGCCTCAAACGACAAGCGTAGGGATGCTGTTGTATGGATTGATCTATTAAAATGTATTTCTCCTTAGGTTTGTGTGTGTTGTGTGTGTGTATTTGTGCACCACGTGCATGCAGTCCCTGCAGCAACTAGAAGACAGCTCCATACCTCCTGAACTGGAGTCACAGACAGTTGTGAGCCACCACATGGGTGCTGGGAATGGAACCCAGGTCCTCTGCAAGAGCAGCCAGTGCTCTGAACTGCTGAGCCATCTCTCCAGCCCTTTGATTTTATTTTTCAAATTATTTCATTAAAATTTATGTCACTTGAATTTTAACAATGGTTGTGTTTATCAAGCAACTCTTAAATGGCTGAATCTTCTCCAGTTGTTTCCATAAGTATGAGTGGGCACTGCTGAATGGCCGTTTTCATTCACAGGGACGCCACTTGACTTTCTTGATGTTTGCTATTTCCTGTAGGCTGCCCACTGCCAGAATGTAGGCTGTACAAGCAGGGTTTGGGATGGAATCTTGACTGTATCTTCTCCAGCAGCTAGGCTGAGGGCTGCTGCAGAGTAGGTAATCCACGATAGACAAGTGACTGCTGACAGTGGGTGTCCAATAACGACCGAAAGAGGAGCCTCGGGGCATAACAGGAAGTTAGGGATGGCTTGCACGACGCTGGCAAAATCTGCTGTCTTTGTATCATGCTCATGGTTCCAAGTCTGAGGGAGGAGGCTGGGCCTGGACCCTGAGTCTGAGGGAGAAGGGCTAGGCCTGGACCCCTGGGTCTGAGGGAGGAGGCTGGGCCTGGATCCCTGGGTCTGAGGGAGGAGGGCTGGGGCCTGGACTCCTAGTCTGAGGGAGGAGGACTGGGCCTGGATCCCTGAGTCTGAGGGAGGAGGGCTGGGCCTGGACCCCTGGGTCTGAGGGAGGAGGCTGGACCTGGACCCCTGGATCTGAGGGAAGAGGGCTGGGCCTGGATCCCTGAGTCTGAGGGAGGAGGACTGGGCCTGGACCTCTGGGTCTGAGGGAGGAGGGCTGGGGCCTGGACTCCTGAGTCTGAGGGAGGAGGCTGGGCCTGGATCCCTGGATCTAAGGGAGGAGGGCTGGGGTCTCGACTCCTGGGTCTGAGGGAAGAGGCTGGGCCTGGACTTCTGGGTCTGAGGGAGGAGGCTGGGCCTGGACCCTCAGTCTGAGGGAGGAGGGCTGGGGCCTGGACTCCTGGTCTGAGGGAGGAGGGCTGGGCCTGGATCCCTGGCATTCAAGGTCATTTGCGTCCTGCCTCTGTGGGGGATTGGAGCCAGGGATGAAGGTTAGAGATGAACAGGCAGAATGAGACAGGCTTTGCTGGAACTTGAACTCAGATGTCCTCCCCCTACCCTGACTGCTCTCTGTGTGTGCAGTAGCCAGGAAACGAGGCAGCTCAGAGATGGGGAACCCAGGCACAGGTGGATGGACAGTGATGGGCAGACTCCAGGCAGGAGTCCGGTGCCGGAGGCAGCCCCTCTCACAGCACAGTGTTCGTGGGAATGGACTAATGGAGAGCATAGGGCAAAGTTGGGGTTGTTCCATTTTTGTTTTTATTTATTTGGTTGTAGAGAGAGAGTTTTTGAAGCAGCCTTCTTTGGATGAGGTTGCTGGTCCAGAGCATTTGTACTCCAGCTTCTGGACCCAGTGAGTCTCAAACTGTGACCACCAGCTATGAGAGATTCCAGAGCCAAGACCCTGGGAGGAAGGGGGAGCCCAGAGTAAGGGCAAGGACCCTGGGTCTGAGGGAGGAGGCTGGGCCTGGACCCTGGGTCTGAGGGAGGAGGCTGGGCCTGGGGTCCTGGGTCTGAGGGAGGAGGCTGAGCCTGGTGTCCTGGATCTGAGGGAGGAGGCTGGGCCTGGGGTCCTGGGTCTGAGGGAGGAGGCTGGGCTTGGGGTCCTGAGTCTGAGGGAGGAGGCTGGGCCTGGGGTCCTGAGTCTGAGGGAGGAGGCTGGGC